CCTAGACAACACCTTCAACCATTCAGTAACTTTCTCATCCATGAGACGTGTTTCAAACCATTGAATAAAATCTTCTCTTTGATTGTTAGCTTTTCTGGACTTCCTTTTTTTTAGAGGATTATGATCATTAACCTCATGCTCTCTACAAAATAAATAACTAATATTTTAATACAAAAGAAAAAGAAAACTTATAGTGAGAATGAAATTTTGTATCAAGTAGATGAGTGTACCTAATGTACTCTTGCACTTCATCGCAATTGAATAAAATGTAGCCGTGAGCTTGGTTTAGAGACTTATGATCAAGGGAAATTAGTTTCTTTCCCCCGATTGGATGACCTATGTTTGGAGTATCATCGCTATTTCGTGTCATTCTATTCATCCTTGTGTCTACAGCACTAGACAAATATCTTGAACAAAATGTTAGAGATTCTTTAACTAAGTATGCTTCAGCGATAGAACCCTCTGGACGACTCCTATTACGAATAAAAGATTTTAAATCACCCAAATATCTTTCCATATAATACATCCATCGAAATTGAACCGGTCCACCCAATCTGACTTCATTTGCCAGGTGAATTGGTAAGTGAACCATTATGTCAAAGAAACTCGGAGGGAAGATACGCTCGAATTGGCAAAGTGTTTCAGCAATTTCTACTTCCAAGTAATCCAATGATTTCACATCTATAACCTTCTGGCATAAACACCGAAAAAATGAACAAAGTCGAAGCAAAGGGATAACAATTTGATTAGGGCATATCCCTCTTATTGCTACTTGCAACAAGTAATGCAATATAATATGAGCATCATGACTCTTGTATCCAGAAACTTTTCCTTCATTAACTTGAACACATCGAGAAATATTGGATGCAAGGCCATCAGGAAGTTTTACTGTCTTTAAAACATTACAAAAAATAGTTTTCTCTTGCTTTGTTAGGGAGAAACATGCCTTAGGGATTTGAGTTTTCTTATCATCACTTGTTTCCTTCAAATGGAGTTTTTTTCTAATCCCCATGTGTTGTAGGTCCAAACGAGCTTTTGCATGATCCTTTTTATTCCCTTCAATATCTAAGAGAGTCCCCATTATATTATCACAAATGTTCTTTTCTGTATGCATAACATCTACATTATGGCGCAAAGAATTATCCTTCCAATATGGTAATTGCCAAAAGATAGACTTTTTCTTCCATGGACCAGGCCTTTTTTTATGATATTTTTGCCCCACTACGTCAGGAATCTTTTCTAAGTCTTTTAAAATCATTGTTGAATCTAACAAGGAGGGTGCAAACCTATATTTTGGCTTTCCATCAAAAGAACTTGAATTTGATCTCCAACTATGATTTGAATCCAAAAAGACTCGATGACCCATATAACACATCTTTCGACTATGTTTTAAGTATCTTGAAGAAGTTTTATGATTACAAGCAGGACAAGCAAACTTCCCTTTAGTACTCCAACCGGATAACATAGCATATGCATGGAAGTCATTCACAGTCCACATAAGAGCTGCACGCATTTGAAATGATTGATTTTTTGAAATATCATATGTTTCTACACCGACTTCCCACAATATCTTAAGCTCCTCAATAAGTGGCTGCAAATACACATCAATTTCATTTCTGGGTGACTTTGGTCCAGGAATAAGTAACGACATCCAACAATTTTCAGCCTTCATGCACAAATTTGGCGGATAGTTATATACTGTTAATACAACAGGCCATGTGCTATGTGAAAGACTCATGGTCCTAAATGGATTAAACCCATCACTTGCCAACCCAAGTCTGATGTTACGAGTTTCACGAGAAAAATCTGAATGTTTGGCATCAAAGTCTTTCCATGCTTGGGCATCAGCTGGATGCCTTAACTTCTCATCCCTTGAACGATGGTCTGCGTGCCACCTCAATGTATCAGCTGTCTTTGAACACATAAAAAGTCTTTTCAATCTTGGAATCAATGGAAAATGTCTTAGAACTTTGGCGGGAACCTTATGAGCTTTTATAGATTCTTCAAGATCATTAGCAACTTCAGGATATTCAATCCACCTTGACGTGCCACAAATATGACATGAATCATCTTTCTCGTGATCTTTCCAAAACAACATGCAGTTGTTCGGACATGCGTCAATATTTTTATAGTCTAAGCCCAAATCTTTTATCATAGATTTTTATTTATTGAAAGAGACAGGGATGTTCAAATCTGGTATAGCCTCTTTTAACAACTCTACGAGAGCAGTGAATGATGCATTACTCCATCCATGGAGACATTTCAACAAATAAATTCGAATAGTGAATGATAACGAGGAAAACTTTTCACAACCAGGATACAACTCTTGATTTGCATCATCAACTAGTTTATAAAATTTCTTTGCATCTTCATTTATCCCTTCATGTACTCCACCTCCTTCAGCCACATCTTTAAATGTCTCAAATAGTAAGCCATCGATATCATCATGAGATGATGTTTCATCATTACTATCACCATCAAGATCTATAAGACTCTCATCTTCACCATGATAAATCCATTCAGTGTATCCCTTTACAAATCCTTTACTACATAAATGGTCATACACTACATCTCTTACTTCCCAACTATCATTGCAACATACAGAACAAGGACACAAAATCTCTTCTTCTTCAACCATTCCTTTGGTGAATGCAATATCCAAAAAGTAATTTACACCGTCCTTATAACTTTGACTGTGTGGAGGTAACTCCACCCAATCCTTCTTTATCATGTTTGGTTTTCTAAAATGAAATAAATTATACATTACTCTTTATCATATAAAGGATGGAAAAACACCATGGTTCATATATCAACGTAGCTTTTACAAATGCATAGTTATTATAAAAATTTCATTTATAATCTAAATATACACTAAACATGCATTCCAATACCAAACATAGAATAAATTGGTGAACTTTTAATCTAAGCATGCACAAACATTTCATAGTCTAATATAATATGTATTTGTTGTTTCTTTTCAAACTATATAATATGTATCTGTTACCTGAATTCTTTCAACTTGATTCCAGCAGTAATAGAAACTAAAATCTTGTCCTTAGTTACAAGCGACTTCGATTTCAACACAACTTCCTTCACTGCAACAACAACAACAAAGCTAGTAAATGAAACGGAGACTTTCTTTCTCAAACAATGTTGAAACCGATGAAATATCTATTGAGGTTTAACCGAAACAACGACGGTGAATGATCTAAAGACAAATAATTAGAAAATGAGAAAATGAAATGCAATTACAATTACAAACTTATTAAACAAAATTGAACAAAGAACCAATATTGTAATAGTTATCTAATAAAGTGCCACCACGGAATAATATAGATATTTACTCATGCAAAACTTAAAGAGTAGAAAGTAATTTATCTAACTAATCATATAAAATTTAAAGGAATAGAATACCACCATGAATAAAACATACTGAGAGTTTCGTAAAACAATTATATATGCTGTTCAATTTAAAGGAGAGTTATCTAACTAATTATATATGCTGTCCAATTTAAAGGAGAGTTTCGTAAAACAATTATATATGCACATGGTGCTATCCAATTATATATGCTGTCCAATAAAACATAATGAGAGTTAAAACAATTATGCTATCCAATTTAAAGGAGAGTTATCTAACTAATTATATATGCTGTCCAATTTAAAGGAGAGTTTCGTAAAACAATTATATATGCACATGGTGCTGTCCAATTATATATGCTGTCCAATAAAACATACTGAGAGTTAAAACAATTATGCTGTCCAATTATATATGCTGTCCAATTTAAAGGAGAGTTCTCTTGTGGCTAATAAACTTCATGCTAACAAAACAATGAGCATCGCTAACAGTAAAATCGTAAAACAATTATGCTGTCCAATTATATATGCTGTCCAATAAAACATACTGAGAGTTAAAACAATTATGCTGTCCAATTATATATGCTGTCCAATTTAAAGGAGAGTTCTCTTGTGGCTAATAAACTTCATGCTAACAAAACAATGAGCATCGCTCACAGTAAAATCGTAAAACAATTATGCTGTCCAATTATATATGTTGTCCAATTTAAAGGATAGTTCTCTTGTGGCTAATACATACACAATTATGCTGTCCAAACTAAGCAACACCAAACCGTAAAACATCGTACAACAACACACATATACATGAACACCTTAACAATGACAATTCAAAAGAAACTAAGCTAACATTGCGCGAACCGCATCATGCACGTAATAAAGTATCAACCAAAACAGAATGCAAGTAAATTGTGTGAAAAGCCACATGTGAAATGCACACAATTATGAGTTACAAAGATCAAGATCAAAATAAGAAACCTACTTGCACATCAGAAAAAAAACATTAACACGGGAGTACTGTAATATTTATATTGATTGAAATTGTGAAAGTGTTTATGTAATCTTTTCCATCATTTTCCATCAACCTTGTGAAAGAAATTGAATAGAATTTCGTCTGGTACTAATCTGCTACTACAATTGACAGAATATCTACCCAATATCCGTCATGTCCCTTTTACTAATCTGCTACTACAATTGCCATATACATATTCAAATAACAAAATAAATTTACTACTCCTAAAAAACAATTTCATGTAATTAATTTCAATTCAAGAAAAGGTAGTACTACTAATTAATTTCCTCTCTGATCTTATCTTCCCTTGCCTTGGCTTCCCTTTCTACCAAAATAATATGAGCATGAATACAAGATTCTCAGGCCTGGGAATCAACTAGAATCTTGCTAAACTATTCATCAAAGTAGGATTTAATTAGCACTAGCAAACAATAAACCATCAAGCAATGAAGACAAATCAAATGATGTACCAACATGATCAGAAATAGACACTGACTTCTTCCTTTTTGACAAAACTTATTACGGCTCTACAATTCTATCCTCATACACATACCTTCCATTATTGTCAAGAAACTAATAGAAACCATTCTCATCAGGAAAATACCTCATTAGCTTGATAGTAGATTTTCAACAACTTTTAGAGCTTCAACCAAGTCAGCATCATCAGAAAGAATACCATTCAGTTCCAGAAAGAAGTGAATAAAGATGAAAAGAATACCATTCAATACTTCTGCTAAACACCTTAAGATTTTAGTAAAAAAGCTTTAACATGCTTGGGGTTAAAGTTTTTATTCAATCCAATAAATTTCAATTTCAATTCAGACTCGGTAGATCTATCAACATAGTACTTAACTTCTATAGGTTTATTAAAAAAATCTTTGACTTACCTTTGAAGTTGTCTTTTCGGTATCAAATGGATAATCTTTTGACATAGAGCAGACAATTCTTTGCTCTGAGCAATTGATGCAATTGCTCTGAGCAATTCTTTGGATGACTTGGACGACGTGGACGGAGGACGACGTGGACGGCGGACGATGTGGACGAAAGCAGTTGGACAGTGAACGACGAACGGACGACGACGTAGACGACGAACACGGCGTGGCAGTTGGACGGAGTGACGAAGAACACGGCGGAGGGTGTGAACGAAAGAGGTTTGACTCGGAGCGGATGAAGGACGGAGCGTCTGAGAGCGCGTCTAGGTTCGGCGAAATGTGTGAACGAAAAAGAAGGAGAATCGAAAGCTGCTGCTTTTGTTTTCCTTATCTGTTTCTTTTTCTTTTTTTTATTTTCTATTCTTTTTAATAAGACGTGGCAATAATTGAGAGGACTAGTAATGAAAAATATTTTAAATTCCTGTGTTAGAAAAATTTTTATTTTCTGTTTAATGAATTTTTTTTAATATATATATATATATATATATATATATATATATATATATATATATATATATATATATATATATATATATATATATATATATATATATATATATATATATATATATATATATATATATATATATATATATATATATATATATATATATATATATATATATATATATATATAATTTTTTATTTTCTGTTTAATTGAAAATTTTTATTTTTAAATTCCTGTGTTAGAAAAATATTTTTTTTTATATATATTAATAATGTTTAGAGAAAAATATTTGTTTTTTAGTGTATAAGTTTTTGAGGGAAGATTGCCACCAAAAAATTGATAATTCTAAACAAATTTATACAACATTTCAGAAATGTAGCCTTTTATTAGAACTAATGTAACAATCTAAAAATGTCCCCAAAAATATTTTAGGGGACAATTGTCAAACATTGCTAAAGAAATAATATTTTAACGCTCTAAAATCGTCCCCAAAAGCAGTTAAGGGCACAATTAACAACCGTTGGCAAAAAAATAAAAGAGTATCGCTCCATAAACGTCCCCAAAAGTATTTTAGGCGACGATTATCAAGGGTTGCAAACATATTTTTGACAACAATCGTAAATCGTTGCCTATATGAATTTAAGGCAACAAAATTCTACATGTTACCTAAAAAAGTGTTTCCAGAGACAACAAATGTTGTAGTGATGGTACTTGAATTACTTGGTTACTATCCTTGGCATTATGGAGTGATGGACTTCTTGGACTTAGGAATAGAAACATTGACCTATGTTAGAGACCTTAATTGATATTTTATCTGAAGTTCTTGAGGTTTACCTCAAGACATTGGGTTGTTTGTTTGTTTTGTGTGCAGGTTATTGTGATTACATACTTTGTCTATAGTCTGGAATTCATCTGTATACAGTCGTTACTCTGCCCAATTTTTGTGAAGATTTAATGCAATTAAAGCTTGATTTTCTCAAGAGGTTTAGTATCCTTGCTTGGTTTCAATCCAAAGAATGAGAATTCTATCATGACTCATAATGTCAAGTGTTGGCTTCTTGTTTATTTAGACGGTTCTTTTATCTAACTTTTACCTTATGCTTTAGGATAGTCCCTTCTTCTCCTCTCATCTTCTTTAATTTAAAAAATATTGTCCCTCCTTTTGAAAACACTTCTTGTTCCTAAAATTGAACCACTTTCATAATAAACTTGGGCTTAGGTCCATGCATTTTCAAAACATTTTCATAAACAAACTTTAATCAAATTAATAATACCTTAAAATTTTTGTGAGAAGACTAAAAGCCAATCAATCTCATTCAAACCATTTTTACCACTTTGGCTTTTGCTTTAAAACTTTTCTCAAAAGATTGGACTCTTGTCAATCCTTGTAGTGATGCAAACAACTATTCTTCTACAATATATATTAAAGTTAGATACTTTCCACTTGGGTGTTGAGTGAGGCATTGTTAAATTTAAAATCCAAGCCATATCCTCCACTTTGAGATGATGCAAATTCTCATTTCTCATGATTGTGGGTAGTAAGTATGTTTTCCACACGGGCAATGACAGTGATGTCTTATCTCATAAAATTAACCAACACATTTGTGTTTCAAAATTTTTAAAGAGGAACTACGTGTACCCCAATCCCATATTTCACGGAAGGTGGTACGTAGGCACTAAAGGTTCACAACCGCGGCGGGTTCAAAAATCATAAAAAATATATTTTTTTCTCACCTCCACCATCTATTTTTATACAATATTTTATAGCCAAAATATACAAATTTTTCAAAGAGGTTCCTGCGGAGTACCGTAGATGTTTAGGGTACTAATATCTTCCCTTTGCATAACCAACCCCCTTACCTAGAATCTTTCCCCCTCTTTTGGGTTATTCTCTCTTTTCCCATTCCTTTGGAAACAATAAAGCGCGGTGGCGATTTTTATTTTGATATGTACAATTCTAGTCAATCCAATGGCTTAGTCTATAACATTTCTACTGCTACATGTCCCTAGCATCCAATGTCTTGCATAAGTAGTTTGTTGCTGGAAGGTGAATATTTATGTGCTCTTGCTGCAAAAATGTTGAAAAACAGAATTAGAAATTGAACATTGTGAAGGATTTATCTTTTCAAATAAAGAACGAAAACATAATGAGAAACATAATGTGCTTCTCAATTTAAGGTGATTTACTTATGAACATTTAAGAAAAGAGAAATGCTAAGTTAACTGATACATAACTTAAGGTGAAAAGCATAATGTGCTTCACATCCACATTGATTTTAAATGAATATGAACTTATAAATGATTTTAAGTTCAAAACAGTCACATTTTAAACTTCACATTCACAGTGAAAATATTTCTCAATAGAATCAACCATTAAGAATGGAAATTTTAACACATCTGCAGCATTCTGGATCCCAAAATGCATACTACTATATATTACAACAAACACTTACACAAACATCAAATGATACTATGCATATTATACATACTATACATACTATCAAATATCTCATGAGCTTCATAATTAATATGTATCTTCTTTCTAAGTGATTGTATAAATACAAGTTTATACTCTTAAGAGATAATAGTCACCAAATATAGATCAGTAATACAAAAAAGATTAAACATAAACATTTAAAACAACATAACTATCATACTAAACAAAAATATCAAACATTTTAAACCTAAACACCTAAACAGTTAAAACAACTTCAAACCTCAAATGAAATAAAATAATCGGATTCAGACAAAGCATAAAACAAGAGGATTCAGACAAAGCATAAAGCAACATACTATTAGAGTTAAAATAACAAGATTCATTCATAACTATCAAGATTCAGACAAATCATAAAACAACAGGATTCAGACAAAGCATAAAACAATATACTATAATACATGACATGAGTATTATATGATCGGAACATAAACCGCAAGCACACATACACACACATAGATATATATATATATATATATATATATATATATATATATATATATATATATATATATATATATATATATATATATATATATATATATATATATATATATATATATATATATATATATATATATATATATATATATATAGAGAGAGAGAGAGAGAGAGAGAGAGAGAGATAGATAAAGAGAGAGAGAGACTTACATGATTGGTGTCGGTGGTGGTTCATAGACGGTGACAATGTTTCATTTTGTTGACGACGACAGTGTTTTTGTGTGAAGAGAAACCAAAGAAAACCCTAGCAGCAAAGTGAAACTTGGAAGTGAAAAGAAACAAGTTGAGAGTGATTCAATGTATTATTAGGTGTTGGGGTTGGAGAATTTTGTTGGGCTCAAAGTAACATATCCAACCCAATTTTATTATGACTCATTGGGCTAGTCAAATTAGCATTTCATGGGCTCGGAAATGCAACCCAAAACTGACCGACTTAACCTAATAAACCCACTTATTAGTGAATAGGTTTACCGCTAACCCGACTCATCCAAACGGTTGCTTCACGGGCTGCATGGTTTGGTCGGATTGGGCTGGTTTCAACATTCTTGTCCAGCCCTACAATTTGGTGGCTAACAAGCTAAAAGATGAACCTATTTAGTGTATTGTAGTGTCCAGTTTTAGTGTTTCAATTTAGTAGTTTAATTAATTAATAATATTAAAATAATAATAATAATAATAATAATAATAATAATAATAATAATAATAATTAATATTATTAGTATAATATTTTTAGAAGTTTTGAATTAGAAGTAAACAATTGGATAATTTAGTTAATTTGAATTATTTTCAATTCTGTTAGAGTTGTCAATAGAGTTGTTAGAGTTGTCAATAGAGTTGTTAAAGTTGTTTTGAGTTATTAAGAATCATATTTTTATTTTCTTTGTGTAATTCTGACATATGTTTAGAGTTGTAAGTGTATGATGTCAGTATTGCGTTTTCGTTGAAACTTTAAAAATTCATAACTTTCGAATCGTAACTCTGTTTTGGTCACCGTTCGAAGTGTTAGAAAGCTAGCGCAATATTCTTTTCAATAAAAAGATTTTTGTTGGCAATTGGTGATTTAATAATTGTGTGGTTATGTAAAATGACATGTACGTGTGTATATGTATATTGAGAATTGATGTTGGATGGGAATAACATTGTTTGACATTGTTTGTTATGTGTTATTGTATGTGTTAAATTGATGAGTATTGACATGATGTATGTAAGTTATGCAATTTAGTGAGATAATTAAAATGTGTTGAATTATGTGAAATATGCTTGTATGATTAAGATATGGAGATGGTCTTAATTGCATATGGTTGTTGTAATTGCATAAGCATCATTTGTTGTGTCAAGCGGCATGTTCGCTAGTTTAGAGAGTGGACTAGTGACTTATCCCAAGCTCAGATAGGGGGCTTGAAGCTCAGAGAAGAGGCTTATGGATTCAGAGAGGGGATCTGATTCCAAAAGAATCAAATATTAAGTTGGTACCACATGCATCGTGCATAATATTAAGTTGCATTCGAGTCACAAATATTATAATTTCGTATTTGGCATTGTATGTGGAGATATTGAGATGGATGGCCTTAACGCCTAATGATTTATTATATGATGTTGTTTTGAGATTCATGTGTTGGTATCATGTAGAGATGCAAGTATTCCGCTGTGACATGCATAATTGTTAAATGTATACAAGCATGAATTTAAATATGTGTATTTGAGCATGACTATTTTATGTGTTGTATTATTTTGGAGATATATGTGATGCTCTCTTGTATTTGAGCATGACCATTGTATGCAATATATTTGCGCGGGGAATTAGAGGGTGTTACACCAGGTTGAGAAACTATTACTACAACATAATGCCTTTCGATCTGAAGAATGTTGGCGCTACATACCAATGAATGATGAACAAGGCCTTCCAAGGAGACATAAGAGACATGCCCGAGGTCTACATGAACGACACGATCCTCAAGTCCAAAGAAGAAACCGACCATGCTCTCCACCTAAATAAAGTCTTCGAACAGGCAAGGAAATGCAAAATGTGATTCAAGCCATAAAAATGCACCTTCGGTGTACGGGCAGGCAAATTCCTCGATTTCTACCTAACAAAATGAGTAATCGAAGCCAACCCCGACAAATGCCAAGCATTTTATGAATTTCCAACGCCAAACTCGAAGAAATCAATTCAAATCCAGAACAAAATGCTCACCTCATTATCCTATTTTGTCCCAAAATCTTCCCAGCACGCACTTCCTTTTTTAAAACTTCTCCACAAAGAGGCAGTCTTCAAGTGAACGAGCCCCCGTCCACTTCAAACAGGCAATGCCACAACCGACAGTCCTTTCTCGACCAGATAAGGAAGCAATCTCTATCTCTATATGGTCATGTCATTCGAGGTCGTGAGCACCGCCCTCATCCGAGAGACCCTCGAGGGACAGAAACCCATCTACTTCAGGAGAAAATCCTTACAAGGTCCTGAAGTAAGATACTAGCAGATCAAGAAAGTAGCCTTAATACTCATTAACACTGCAAGGAGATTAAGGCACTATTTCCTAGCGCACATGATTGCAGTCTGAACATAGAAATGGATAAAGCAGTTACTCGGTCGACCATACATGGCAGGTAGGATGCTCAAATGATCGTTAGAACTCTCTGGGTTCGACGCTAAGTACGAAAGTAGGAAAGCCCTCAAAGCTCATGTGCTGGCCGACTTCAAGGCAAAGATGACCTCGACAACCTCCCTAATAAGTGGAACATGCAGATGGATCATCTTCATTGATGGGGATTCCAATTCTACAAGGGGCGGAGTAAGAATCATATTATAGAACAAGGAAGGAATATTGATTGAAGTCTCCCTCACGCTATCTTTCCCTACCTCAAACAACCAAGCCGAGTATGAAGCATTCCTAGCAGGGTTGTACGTGGCCAAAGAACTAGGAGTCGAGGAAGTGAAAATCTTCAGAGATTCCCAGCTCATCGCATCTCAAGTGCGGGGAGAATATCAGGTCAAAAACGAATATCTCTCTAAATACTGGACTTTGGTCCAGGAAAGAATAAAGAAATTTGAGGTCGTAGACGTACAGCATGTTCCACGCTAATACAACACTCAAGAAGATATCTTTTCTAAACTGAAAAGCACAAAAAAGAAAGGGGAAAATAAATCGGTAATACAATAAATACTTCCTCGACCGAGCATTGAAAAACCCTCATCGACTCTAGACGTGTGCGCCATTGGGGACAACAACTGCTGGATGACCCCGAAATACAACTACCTTACAAAAGGAGAACTTCCGACCAACCAGAAGGAAGCCAACATAGTCAGGCAAAGAGCCTGCTCCTACGTTTTAGTCGAGGAAAGATTGTATAGAAGGGGATTCTCCATCACCCTCCTCAAATGTGTAGAAGAAAAAAAAGTAGCCTAAATCCTGCGTGAAATCCACGAAGGAATTAATGACCAACATCTGGGCGGAAGATTCTTGGCCATAAAAGTATTACGGGTAGGTAGGGATGGCAATGAACCAAACCAACTCGAAAATAGTTTGAAATTCGATTCGAAAATTAAATCGTTGAACTAGGTTCATAAACCAAATGAGCTAAATATGAGCTAAACACTAAGTTCGTTAACTAAATGAGTTGAACTTGAACTATACATAGTTCGACTCGTTAGGTTTATGAGTCAATTCGATTATATATGAGATAGATTATATTGTCTTTAAGAGTAGGTTTAAAGACATTCTCTATATCTTAGTCTTATATTTTCTTTTAATCTAACGGTTTTAATTGATAATTTATATTATCAAGTGAGAAAAAATATTTCTACAAATAATTATACAAATAAAATTAACATCATATAAATTCCAATATTATACCTTTTATTTTATTTCTATATTTTTTATTTAAAAATATTAATTTAAAATGTCAAATATATATATATATATATATATATATATATATATATATATATATATATATATATATATATATATATATATATATATATATATATATATATATATATATATATATATATATATATATATATATATAATACTTAAAAAAATTACTTTTAAGTCCGTGAAATAAGCGAGTTGAACCTGACAAAATAAATCTAACGAGTTAAACCGAGATGTTCGTGAACTTCTAACAAGTCGAGTTTGAGTTAAAAAAAACCTCGTGATGAACTCGAACTTGGCTAATTCTTAATGATTCGAACTGAGTTGAGCCGAGTTTGACTCGACTCGACTCATTTCCAGCCCTACGGGCAGGATACTACTGGCCTTTCATGCAACACGATGCTAAAGAGCACGTGGAGAAATGTGACAAATGCAAACTCCACGGGGACATGCACTTGGCAACTCCAAACGAGCTGAAGTATCTCTCGTCCCCCTAGCCCTTTGCATGGTGGGGTCTGGACATCCTCGGGCCATTTGTAGTAGGATCAAACCAAAACAAAATACCTAATAGTAGTTGTTGATTAGTTCATAAAATGGATAGAAGCAGAAGCGCTGGCCAGAATAACCGTACAAAACATTCTCTATTTCTATAAAAGAAACATTCTTGCCCGATTTGGCATTCCCCAAGTAATTGTCACCGACAACAGGACACAATTCACAGACAAAAATTTCCAGGAATTCATTACCAAGTTGGGCAGCATCCAACACTTCGCGTCTGCCGAGCACCCGCAGACAAACGAGCAAGCCGAGTCTGCGAATAGGGTGATCCTACAAGGCCTCAGACTATGGTTGGATGAGACCAAAAAGAAATGGGTTGAGGAGTTATACAATATACTCTGGGCCTATCGAACAACAAATCACTCATCCACTGGGGAGACTCATTTTTGACTAGCATACGAAACTGAGGTCATCATCTTGGTCAAGATCAAAGAGCCATTCAGATGGGTTGAAGTCCCTCTCGACGAAGAGATGAACAACATAGAATTAAGGGAAGAGCTCGACCTTGTCGAGGAAACCTGAAGGGGATCGGCCTTACGAGAAGCCTCTCTTAAAAAAAATCGTCATACGATATGACGCCAAAGTCTTATGATATGACGCCAAAGTCATACGGCGTGAATTCGAAGTCAGCAACCTAGTCCTAAAGAGAAATCACAAAGAGTCTCATGAAGACAAGCTCGCTGCAAACTGGCAAGGCCCCTATCGTGTCCAAGCAAAGACGGGGAATAGAGCCTACTAC